ACTCACCTCAGCCTCCCAAAGTGCTGGGATTACAGGCTGAGCCACCGAGCCCGGCTAACAGACTATCTAATGTGGTAATACCTTCTGCTCATTTCCATAAAGGCAGTTCATATTTGACCTGAAATACTGTTAAAACTTTATTCATCTCCACTTATAGGACAACCAGCATCTGTAGTATGGAGCTTAGTACCTTGAATATATTATTTTATGTTAATTCTTAAAGTAACTCTGAGAGTTTTGTACTGTACATCTCAATTTTTAAGTGGGAAAACTGAAGCTGGGAATTTTAGCCAATTTGCCTAAGGTTACACAGTTAGTAATTGGCAAATACACAGGACGTATTCTGGTCTGATTTGGAAGCCCATGCCCTTCCCAGTATTCTGTCCTGGGCATCAGGGTTTGTCACCTTCGGCACCTTTGGCATTTTGGACTGGATAATTTTTTGTTGCTAATTTAAAAAAAAAATGTCCTCTGCATTCAAGGATGTTTGGCAGCATTCCTGGCCTCTACCCACTAGATGCCAGTAGCATGCATGTGCACACACACACACACACACACACACACACACACACACGACAACCAAAACGTGTGTACACATTGCCACAGGTTCCCTGGAAAGCAAGATCACTCCCAGCTGAGAATCACTGCTATGAATGCTTCTGCAGCATTTGCTCTCTTCCAATGCTGAGGTTTTATGGTCCTATAAAATGTACAGAATAGTTTGAAGACCCTAATAGTATTTAAGAGTGGCCTTACAGGGTATATGCTAAGAAATTTAAATCAATTCAATTAGTATTTTAGTTATTTGCACTTAAAAAGCCCCTATTCTTGTTATTTCTGAAAAATCGTTTGTTCTCTCCAATGAGTAAATGCTCACACTGCCAAAAAGCTCAGAAAATTCAATGACCTGCTTCTGCCTCAGGAACTCAGCCCAGCCTTCTCAAAAAGACATTCAAAGTCTCCCTAGTTTGCCCTCAGTTCTCTCCACCCTCAAACCCCACACTTGCAGGCTACAGCCAAGCAAGATGACTCACTGTGGTTCAAGTGCATCCTACGTTTTCTTGTTTCATGTCTTGGCTGAGGATGTTCACTCTGCTTCCCACCTCTTCCAATCCCACGCCTGCACTCCCGCCTTTGCATTGAATTTCTTCCTATGTCATTCAAGTTCATTTGATGCTCTCTGCTTGTCCCACACAGCTTCTCAGGCACAGTTATAGGGGTATGCATCTATCCTCTTGTCCATGGTTGGTTTGTTTCTGTCTTAGTCTGTTTTCTATGCTATAACAGAATACCACAGACTAGGTGATTTATAATTACAAGTAATTGATTTGGCTAACGGTTCTGGAGGCTGGGAAGTCCAAAAGCATGGTGCCTGCATCTGGCAAGGGTCATCCCATGGCAGAAGGCAGAAGGTGAAAGTGAGCACACCAGAAAGTTGGACAAAACTCATATATTTTTATAGAAGCCCATGATAACAGTATTAGTCTATTCATGAAAGCCAATCCCTCAAGGCCTAATCATCTGTTAAAGGTTTCACCTCTCAATATCATTACAATGGCAATTAAATTTCAACATGAGTTTGAGTAGGGATGTTCAAACCATAGCAGCATCTCTCTCATCTCACCCAGCCTTAAGGAGAGAGTGTGATCTTTTCTACTGGATTGAAAGTTCTTGGAGAAGAAGAATTCTATTTTAGCCCTTCTATTTAGTCTTTATCTCTTAGCAGATGTTCTGATTGTTGTATTGGACTGAATTGGATTGGAGATGAGATTGAATAAACATTGCAAAGATAAACATCTGATCAATTTCCATGGAGGTTAAAATAAATGTAAAGCTTGAGATCTGAACAGCGTAGTGCACACAATGGAGCACAGCAGTTTGCCTCTCTGGTGTACAATGACCCTGCCTCATGTGACTTAGATGTATTGGGTGGGGCTCTGACCCAGGCCACCAGTAGGATTTTGCCCATCGAACCCTACTTAGTGGTTCCCAGCTGAAGGGTACATGGGCCTGGCATCCTCTCCATGCTTCCCTTACTGAGTGTGTGCTCTGGGCAGGCCTGTGTTTGTCCAAGGAAGGGCTACTTTCCCTAATTTTCACAAAGGTGCCATATGGACTGGCAGACACCCTGACAATAAAAACTCTTTCACAGAGGAAAGAAATAGTGCAGTCAACATTATTAATCCCCAAATTTGCCTTTTACCCACTCGCATTATTAAGATCCATTGCACTGTCTTCTGCCTATCCTAATCAACCTTCATTTTACCACTACTGCTTGACTAATGAGAGATTGGTATGATTCATTCAAAAATATATATCAGTCATTCAATATGTTTATAGGCTACAAAGTAGAGAAAGCCAAGCCCTTCTCTTTATCAAGCTTATATTCTAGTGGATTCTATAGTCACCCCTCAAGTGTTTTACCATCAGACAATAGCCCACATTTGATTATATTTATATCTGGGCTCCTATTTCAGATAGTTTTTTGATAACCCCAGCTTAACTTTTTCTTTAAAGTGGATTTTTTGAGGAATGAGTTGGTCTGGGGTGATCATTCTAGAAAAATTACTTTGCCCAGGTTGCTGAAGTGACCATGTGGGTCTTTCATTATGGCACAATACTCGGGGACTAGCTCTTTACAGCGAGGGTCCCACCCCCTGCAGTTACGAAGTCTAATTCCAGCTGCAGCTGGTACAGGCCATCCAATCAAGTCTCTCAAGAGAGTCCAGGCATTCTATAACATCTGCATATGATATTAAGCTACAAACTAGGAATTTTCCAGCCCAGAGTCATCTTTACCCTAAATATTTTCAAGGAAATATTTAATGAAAATGGGATCTAACCTTTTATGTTCCTGTTGGCCAAAACATCTTGAACACTTCATCTTACCATTCTCCTGTTGTATCTTCAGATGGGAAGCTGTGCAGCAGCTACAACCGAAGGCTCATCTCAAAGGCAAAAATGAAGGCCATCAAGTATAGCATCATCATCATCCTTGGTAAGCAATGCCCCCTCCTTGTGCTGCAGAACTGGGTGAACATCCTAGAAGCAAACTGGCATTTGGAACCTGGTGACAGAAAAAGAAATTTGCCTATGAGCACTTCTACCTTCTGATTAGGAAGGAATGTGTGAAACTCATCAGCTCATCTGTGGTTCCTTTAAGGTCCAATGTGTAACTCCTAATCGCTCTCCTTATGGATGTATTTACCTACCAAGACCATAGGTTGGATAATTTGGAGAAAGATTGATCAGGATCTAACTAGCTGATGCAGATGCTCATATCACCTGCTTATTCGGTTGCTTTCTTTAAGACACACTCTCCCCCAGGGCTGAAACTGTAAACAAAAAGAAGACAGAAGGGGCTTTCCATTTCCACTGGATATTTAATTTCAAGGTTACTACAAATTTCTCTCTTACTGTCACCTTATCCGCCCTTCCATCTTCCTGTCTTCTGTCTTTTCCTTTTTCTTCTCTGAAGACCCATAAAGTCACCTCACACCATTTCCCATCTGAAATGTTCAACTCTCAGGTAGTGGCCTGACTTACTTCCTAACCTCATTTGTTCCCCAACAATGCCACTTCCCTGAGGTCTCCTTAACAAGTCTCATTAAATAGCCCTCCTTTAGTCTTTACTCTGCCTTATTTTTCTTCATGGTTTCCTCGTCTACTTGACACTATAGGTTATATATAGATTTTCTTATTGTCTATCTCCCCTGCTGGAGTAATAAATCCAGGAGAGCAATGACTTTGGCTTTTGTGTTACTTACATTATTATCACTAAGGTCTAAAATAGGGTCATACACACACTGCTCAATTAATGTTTGTTAACTATGACCTAATTAGCTGAATGAATGAGGAAATGCATGAAAGAGATTTGTGATATTTCCTTTTTACTTAGCTCAAATATCTCCCCTCTGCCCCCTGGCTGTTTTTGGAAGCACCAAGAAAGCATAACTTTCCCATTACCTGCATGTCAAATACCCAAACAACCCTTATCACCTTTCTGAAATGCAACTGCAAAATGCCAAACAGACCACATGCAGCATGACTCAGATGGTAGAATATAGACACAAAACAACACTGCAGGAGGAACAGCAATAAAGCATATACAATCCACCAGGACTTCTCAAAGTCTTCTGAAGTAGATCAAAGACTCCTTCACCTTTCCAGGCAATCAGAATCACAGAGGCACATTTTCTGGAATGGGAAATATGTTGAATTGGGAGATATGTGTTTATACATATGTTCCAGAGACAGCATAGCCCTTTCTAACCAGAAATCATATTCCCAGGCCCTGTGGGACCCTTTCAGTCTGCAAACAGTTGTATCAGACCAAAATGGCCCTATCTAGAACAGATATTTTGTAAGACTCCTTTATCATCCGGAAATAAATGTCTACATAATACTACCTACCTACAATAATTCTAAAAAAAAAAAAAATCAGTGCATTGTGCCTACAATAATATAAAGGAGAAATAAGAAAATAATTTATAATAAGACAATACCAATTTTGATATGTAAATATTTGGGCACAGCTACACTAGCAGAATAATGAAGTCATCAGATGCTTATACCTTGGCATAGTAGCAGTTACAAATGAAGACCAATACAAGTGTGCATTCATGGAGACATAAAAAAATATAAGCAGTATTGTTGTCAGTGACTTGATTTTCTGAGCAGGCAAACAAGCCCTGGTAAAGTTTTGAATTAAACAAAAGCAATTTCTTCTCCACTTACAAAGGAATTGTATTTCTAGAAAGTTCTATATTTATTAAAAATTTCTGTGTTGATTTATAAAACAGAGATAGGTCTAGACAGGGGTAAATATAAGCAGGAGTCTCCCCTACATTAATGTCAACCTGGGCATTCAAAGGATGCATAGGACATGAGATAGGTCTTTGCTGACTGGGCTTCCTATACCATACAGAAAGAGTGGCACCCCTGTGACAAGCAGAATTCCCCCCGCCTCACCATTAATCCACACCCAAACACAAACACATAAGCACACAAAACCATTTTTCCCATTGATACTGCAGTACCATCCTTGTGGGCCAATATTTGGATTAACCACCCAGGATCCAGAATGCTAAGTGGTCTTTGTGTTTGAATTGCTCCTTTTTAATACATTGCCAATGTGTGGGGGGGAAACATTGAGTTAGTTTCACATTCCAAAATTCCCCAACAAGTTACAGACTTACCATTACACAGTTATGGCAAAAAGTCTGCCCTGCACGCAGATGGCCATGGAAGCTAAATTTCTACTCTGAGGGAAAATCCTATGGGTGTGAAAGGTGAAGAATGAGGGTGGAGAGGATGTGGCAAGAAAGTAGGAGATGCATGTGTGTGTCAAGTCAACCCAAGGGTGTTGACTCTGTGTAGTAGTCTGGGCTCTCCAGAGAAATAATAGGGAGAAAGAGAGTGAGAGAGAGAGAGACTTATCCATAGGGGGTCCCAGGACCTGCAGTTGACAAGCTGGAGACCCAAGAGAGCCAATGTTGTAAGTTCTAGTCCAAGTGTGAGTCCAAAGGCCTAAAATCAGTGACCAATATCCCAGCTCAAAGACAGTCAAGCAGAGAGATTAAGTCTTTCCTTCAGCCTTTTTGTTTTATTCAGGCCTTCAATGGATTGAATGAGCACCCCACCCACTCACACACTAGGGAGGGCAATCTGCTTTTCTTAGTCTACTGATTTAAATGTTAATGCTTAACTAAATATCTGGGAACCCTGAGGCCCAGTCAAGTTAAACATAAAATTAGACATCATACTCTGGATCCCCACTTTTAATCCATTTCCTTTGAGGATTTGAAGCCAAATGGAATCAGGGTTTCAAAGCAGGAGGTATCACACTTCCAGACTTCAAACTTTACTATAAGGCTACAGTAATCCAAACAACATGGTATTGGTAAGAACAGGCATGTAGACCAATGGAACAGGATAGAGATTCTGGACTCAAAGCCTCAATTTTTCAACTAACTCATCTTTGACAAAGCCACCACCAACAACCACTGGTGAGAGGAGAACCTATTCAGTAAATAGTGCTGGGAAAACTGACTGATCACATGCAGAAGATTGGAACAGGACCCCTACTTATCACCATACACAAAAATTAACTCTAAATGGATCAAAGACCTAAACATAAAACCTCAAACTATAAGAATCTTAGAAAATGCAGGAGACATCCTATGGAATTTGGAACTGGCAACAAATGCCTGATCAAAACTCTAAGTGACCATACCATAAGAAATAAGATAGATAAGTGGGACCTCATCAAACTGACAAGCTTCTGCAAAGCAAAAGAAACCATCAAGAGTGCAGGGAGACAGCCCACAGAATGGGAAAAAATATTTACCAACTGTATATCTGACAAAGGCCTAACATCTAGGATCTACAAGGAACTCAAACGTGCCAAAAAGAAAAAAACAAACAGCCCCATTAAAAAGTGGACAAAAGGTATGAATAGATACTTCTCAAAAGAAGGTTTAAGGGCAGCCAGCAGACATGAAAAAGTGCTCAGCCTCACTAATCATCAGAAAAGTACAAATCAAAACCACATTGAGATACCACCTAAACCCAGTAAGAATGGCCATCATTGATAAAACAAACAACAGATGCTGGCAAGGATGTGGAGAAAAAGAAACACTTCTACATTGCTGGTGGAAATGCAACCTCTTTGGAAGACAGTGTGGCAATTTCTGAAAGAACTAGAAATTGACCTTCCATATGACCCAGGAATCCCCCTACTGGAAATATATCCAAAGGAACTCAAATCATTCTACAAAAAAGATACCTGCACATGTATGTTTGTTGCAGCTCTATTCACAGTAGGAAAAACATAAAACTAACCATGCTGCCCATCAAAGCTGGACTGGATAAAAAAATGTGGCACATATACACAATGGAATATTATGCAGCCATAAAGAAAGACAAACATAAGGACTTCACAACAACTTGGATGGATTTAGAGTCTATCATACTCAGTGATCTATCACAGAAACAAAGAACAGAGTACCATATGGTCTTACTCATAAGTGGACCTTGAACAATTATCATTATACTATAGGAAAGTGATTGGCAGTAGTGGGAAACTGCCAGGGGAGGGAAGATGGGATTGGCAGTTGAGGGAAACTGCTGGGGGAGGTAGTTGCACACCTCATCAACAAGGATACCTGCATAATGAATATTTGTGTACCTAACCCTAAATTGTACCCCACATCTTTAAGATAAAATTAAATTTTTTAAAAAAGGAATCAGGGTTCCACACACATCAATAGATTTGGTCTTGGGTGGATGTTTTCTAGAGAAGCTAACTTAGAGGCAAAAAGAAAATCGAGAACATTGTGATTAAACTGAGCTGTGTTTTGAAAACATTAGGGTCACCCCTTCCTCCTGCCATACCTCAAAACCAGGAGTCACTATCTGACCAAAATTCTTCCTGTTTTTCCTAGAATCTCCAAAGGATTTTGCTGGGTTTTCTTGAGCTCTGTATTAGATGAGAAGCTATAGTCATAGCCAGCCATTCCCAGGCTTTCAACAAAGAGTCCACAACAGTAGAAATTGGACTCCCCCCTTTTACAGATAGAGAAGCTTCAAGACATTTGCTCAGTTTTATGAATATATCTCTAGGATGTTTTACATAAGAATTTGTATATGTATATAAGTAAACATGACGGCAACACTAGCACACACCACTGTTCTGAACAGCATACCCAACCCTAATATTTCTGAGAAACTCCGGCGTCAAAGAACTCCACTGCTGAAAGTTTAATCAGGGTCGATGAGTTCCCTCAGCTGCAGCTTGCTATGGTACTAATGGCTTTCTTCTCTCCCAGCCTTCATCTGCTGCTGGAGTCCGTACTTCTTCTTTGACATTTTGGATAATTTCAACCTTCTTCCAGACACCAAGGAGCGTTTCTATGCCTCCGTGATCATTCAGAACCTTCCAGCATTGAATAGTGCCATCAACCCCCTCATCTACTGTGTCTTCAGCAACTCCATCTGCTTCCCCTGCGGGTAAGGGGAGCTCTTGGTGGGTCAGACACGTGGATGGTCACTGCACTGGGATTCCAACATGTGTGTTGCTCATTCCCAAATGCCCTGGCAGGTGATAGGATTTTCCTTTCATAAATAAGACATTTGAGTGTCAAAAAGGTTCTGCTAGTGTGACAGATTCAAATGCTGGCCCAGGCCATGGCTGATACACTTTCTCCTATACCACATCACCTCCTATAGCAACCACCTTACTCATGATACATCTAGCAGACCTTACATTTGCCCAAAGCCTCTTCACATGAATTGCATCAGTATAACTCTGTGGTCATAACAGAAAATGAAGCATTATTGCCATTTTACAGGTAAACAAAGCTCAGAAGGTTGAGTGACATTATTGAGGTTATATGACTAATTAGTAGCAGAGCTGAAATTCAATCCCTCCCACAACTAGTGTCATTCTGCTATTTTTCAGCTATTTTCCACACAAGCTACAGAGCATGGGTGGAGAAATTCATAGGAGATAGATTCATATAATAATATAGAGTGTAATAATAAGATAGAATATAGAATATTAAGTTTACAATCAGTGGCTGAGGTTCAAATCCTGCCATTGATTATTCACAGGGATGTGATCTTGGGCAAATTATTTAACTTTTATAAACCTCAGTTTCGTCATCTGTGAAAATGGAGTTAATGGCATTAGTTCCCTTTGGCCAGTGATATCTCTGTCTGCTGGGTTCTGGTGCTGACCAATGTCAAGAAGGGCCACAAGTAATTAGAAGGAAACTCAGGGTGTTACATGGAAGGTTCCCAACACCAATTGTCTGATCTTTAATACATTCTCCATAACTGTTGTCTCTTAACATCCATTCTTTCCTTGTCAGCAGGTCAAATTGTTTTCCTCCATGCTTTATTCTGACTTTCTCTAGGGAGCGAAGATCACAGGATTCCAGAATGACATACCGGGAGAGAACCGAGAGGCATGAGATGCAGATTCTGTCCAAGCCAGAATTCATCTAGTTCTTGGGGCAGTGACAGTGCTAGGCTAAGCCCCAACAGCTCTCCTGGGTTCCCGTTACGAACTTGGGCCTGCGCACGGAACCTGAACTGATTTCTCCATCCTGTTCTTGTCATCACTTGGAGGATGCACAAGGCAAACATACTAATGTGTGTGTGTCACCTGAATTGGCAAATATTGGTCAACACAAACCCACCAACTCTTCTTGCCAGCCAGGGAAAACACCCCTTCCTTCCCCACCATTCCCAGCACTCCTTTCCAGCACCCGAAACCAGTGGACAGAGACATCACTGACCTGGCATTCTGGCTTGAAATTGGTGAGCAGACAGGCAAGCAACAGGGACAAAAACAGTGGGATTATACATGAGTCTTCTCATTACAATAGAAGTAAATAAAAGACTTAATTAAGCCTAGACATTTTTCCTCTGTTTTGGATTGGAGGTTCAGTGACTGTAGCCAAGAAGACAATTGTCCTTGAAATGTCAACAAATTCATTTCCAAGCATTGGTGATTTGCACCTCTTCTGTAGAAAGCCTTGGTTTACAGATGGATGTGATGACAGCAGCCAAGTGCAAACCCCGCCTATTGTATCAACCAAATGATTTGTGGGACGAGCATAACTGCTGGCCCTCCAGGACACGGTCACATCAAGAGATCCTTTCTCCCATAGGAAAAAAAAAAATGTGCTAAAAGTCATGTGTCCCTTAAGTCAGGTCCCAGAGAATTGGGACCTGGAACTCACATGTCTTTGAGGCTCTCTGAAGGTTCTTCCACCTGCATTCAATGATGGGGCCACTCTGGGCTCCATTCCTCAGGAACATTTCTTCCCCTTTTAACTCTCTGAACCCTCTCTTTAGCTGGGAGCTAAATTCCTGTGGCTTTTCCAGGCATGATGCTTCTGTAAGCTCTTTATCATTTTTTGCCTGTCGCAGCCTTTGTCTAGCACCTCGGCCGGGAAACGCTGGTGGGGCTTATTTTGACAGGTCTGGAGTTTGGTATTTATAAGCATAATCCAAGTGAAATATGACTAAATGTTTTCTAGTCAATTTCTTCCATCAAATTTTTCCACAAGTGGAAGTGAAATAATTTAATTTGATCTTATATACATCCCCACCCACAGCTCTGGGTTGCACGTGAACACCATATTTTTAGCCTCACATACATTCCTGACATTAAAATCTCCTTGGCAAAATCCTCCTTCCCAGAATTATTCAGAGCTTAACTTTTTTTTTTTTTTGGCCTACTGCTAGTGGAGTCATTAAAATGTTCACTATATTTTAATAGCACTCCATTCCTCATTATGGTGTCAACTCAAAGTCTGCATGTTTAAGGTCATGTTGACATTTTTTTTTTTAACAAAAATCTCTTTTCAATTTGATCTGACCTTAGGGAAAGTATCTCTTTAGGCAGAAATCAGATTCCTCAGTCATTATCTCTCTGAAAATTATTTTCTGTATTCCAAGAAAATCATCTAGTTTTATGCCTACACAACTATTTGAAGGCTGCCTCCCTCTCTGTCCAATCCACTAAACTCGAGCAACACTGGAAACTTTGAGTTGTTGAGGAATGCTTTCAACATTTCACTTTAAATCAGTATGTACCACAGAAGACCCACAGAATTGTTACTAAAATAGCTGTCTGCACAGGAGCCAATTAACAGAACAAAATCTGGCGGATGTTCTAGGAGGCAAAACAGGAGGATGAGGTTCTCTTGACAGATGATTTCAATCTTTGTCAAGTCTGATCTACAAAAGACATTACATGCCTACCTCATCCATCAGTAGATTCTTAAAGTCAGGGGAAGAGGGGAGTGAGGGGCTTTGTGCTCTTTAGAAACTGTGAATGTGATTCTGTAGCTATTGTGATGTGGTGTCTCTTATTCCTCGAGAAGACTGGAGATCAGTAAGATAATGGTACTGTTTGCTTCAGGATAAGCTGCCATTCAAATGAAACTTGCTCTATATGGTTATGGATTCTGGAATTCTTGTTTCTGTGCATTTTTTGACCTTGGGGAAACATGATTTAAGCATTATGGAAGCACTGATAAGTACTATTCTTATGGCCTTGGGCAAATAATCCCGTGTTTCTGGGTATCAACTACTTCATCTGTAAGATAGGGTCAAAATCAGGCTGTAGCAAAGGATCTTGCTGTTTCCTTGCAGATACAAGCTCTGAGATTGTGTCCAGAGAATGAAAGCTTCTGAAATTCTTTCTTCAGGCAACCAATGACTCAGTGATTCAACGCTGAGTAATTTGCCCTTTAGAGGTGTAACTTTCCTATCTATCACATGAATGTAGAAAATCATAATTTCCCAACTGGGAAGTACAGTTTGAGCTCTTGAAGAAAATTAGAGGCTTAGTCTAAGATATCACTATAGCCTTTGATATCGAAATGGGGTCAGAGAAACCTGCAATGTGGTATATAAAATAAAGATGATTCCTTCCCATGCTAAGATGCCAAAGAATTCCATGGTTATGTTATCACATAGCTTCAGGGGTGGGGAACAATTTAGGATAACAAGTAGTTGTGCTTAATATATTCAGCCACACCATAGAAAACAAGTATCTCCACTTTACTGAACTAAATTAAATATGAATGGTAAAAACTTCTCTGCTTTCAAGGGGCATGTGAAACATAATTTAATTGAAGTTTAATTTCACCAAGCAATAACTCCCACGTTTTTTCCTCCAGAAAACTGTAACACCTTTTTAATGACTTTCATTTGTGATTAATCATGAGAAAAAATGTGTCCATTTTAAACCAAACCAACATGCAACTTAAACTTTCTTCCTAGCTTCATTCAGACAACTCTCTATACACATATACAGAAATGACCTTGCCTCTTCCTTCTGCATTCACAATGTCAATCAAAAAAGGCCACTGCCTGGGTCTGAGAGGAAATAAGAAAACAAAAATATTTTTAGCTGGCAATAAAGTGATTCTGGCTCTTCTAGAATTACCTCAGGAGAGCTACAGATCTGCTGGCAACTTCAATTTTTTTAAATCATCATTTGAATATACCTCATTTTATATGCAGATTAACCAGTGTTCCCTGCAGCTTTTCAATTGCATTTAATTGAAAGGAGATGGCCCTAACTGTTTAGATGCCAACCTTCATGCTTTTGGAAACATGAAAAACCCATGCCTCATTTCTCTGCAATTGCATTTTAAGAATGCATTATCCACAACAAGTTTGGTCCAGTTAACATTTTTAAAGTGCAATTCCAGGCTTATAGAATGTTAAAATGGATGGCGTCTTGCACCATCTAGTCTCATGATTTTCAGACTGCTCAGGCACTCCCAAGATGGTTCCAAGGAGGTAACTCAATATTAATATTCATGCATACAGCAATAGCTTATAAATACAGAGGCAATGAAATATAGTTAAATAACTTAAACATCCTTGAATTACCTTGCATGTAAAATGTAGATTAAGATTAGACATTGATACACCAAGAATGCCGTTATAATTCAGGATAATTACTAAAACAATAGAAATAAGGGAGTCTATAACTTCCAAACTAAAAGAGAAGAAAAACTGAATAAAATTACTCAAGCAATCTAAAAGAAGGCAAGAAAAGAAAGGACAGAAACAGAAACAAAGGACAACTAGGATAAATAAAAAGCACATAGAAAAATGGTGGATTTTTATCCAAATATCTCAATAATTATAATAAGTGCACAGAGGTAAAATGCTCCAGTTATTAATCAAAGATTATCAAACTGAATTTTTTAAAAACTCCCTGTTGTTTACAAAAGATATGCCTAAATCACAAAGATACAGAAAGCCTGAAAATCAAAGCATGGAGCAAAGTATTCCTTGAAAATAGTAGCTAAAAGAAAGCTGGTAAGTCTATACTAATAAAGACTAAATCAACTTTGAGACAAAAAGTATCAGTAGAGTTAAACAGGGACATTTTATAATGATAAATGTTTTCATTTAGTAAAGTGAAATAATAGTTCTAAATTTTTACGTATTTTAAAACATGCCCTCAAAATATATGCTTTAAAACGTTATGAGACCTATAAGACAAATTTAAAACTCTGCAACGTAGTGGGGAATTTCATCATACTTAATTGCAATAATTAAAGTAGACAAAAATTAAGAATGAGCTGGATGATTTGAACAACATGAATGACACAGGTAGCGCACTTTACCCTACCACCTCAGAATTAGATATGTTTTTCAAGCACACATAGAGCAGTTACAAAAGTTGAACATATGCCAGGTCATATAACAAGCTTCAAAACTTTCACAAAGTTGAATTCACCATCTAGTTTTTCTGATGACAATGCAAGTATGCTAGGACTTAAGAGTAGGAAGACAACTAGAAAATTCTGATAGGTCTGGAAATTAGGAAATACACATCCAAGTAACTTATTGTTAAACTAGAAAGCATATGAAAATTAGAAAACAATTGCACTGAATGCTAATGAAAGTATTATGTATCAAGATGTGTGAGATACAGATAAAAAATAAGAGGGGGGACTCCCCTAAAAAACAGAATTATATTTTTTTGGAGGGCAGGCGTCTTGTAATATAGACTTCCCTCCTAGGTAAGTGTTCTAGGAATCTATTAGCATTGGTATACCAGCTAGTATTGGTGTGAGAGGCTGCTTTCAGCTTCAGTGAATTATTTTTTTTTTGGAGATTCTTTCAACACCTTTACCCATTTCATGATGGGTGATTTACGAACACATCTGCCCGCACTATGCTGAGTGTTCAGCAATTTTTGACCAAAAAACAGCATGATTCCTGTGCCTCCCTTCCTATTCACCTGATCTCACTCCAAGCAACCTTTATTTTTTCTCAAATGAAAAACATCCTCAAAGGGAAATGTTTTGCCAATGTGAAAAAGGTAAAACAAAAAATGGCAGAAGCACTAAAAATCATCAAAATTGACAAGTTCAAAAACTGTTTTGAGCAGTAGAAAAAGCATCTTGATAGGTATATTATATCAAATGAAGACTGCTTTGAAGGTGACTGAAGTTTAAATATGTAAGAATAAATACACAATTTTTAATAAATTCCGGATTTTGG